TTCCTGTCTTGCTAAAGAAAGGCTGGGGTTACTACTGAACTCTGTTTTCACTTACTTCTTGAAATTAGATATCCTCTAAAGCTGGAGTTTACTTGTTTCTTTCTTCTCCTTTTCCTTCACGTTGTCAGCCATGCAGTTTGTCTAGATCAGATCAAAGGAGGGGAGGCTGCCACAGGAAGCCCTCTACAGATTCCTGTCTGAGGGGGCAGCCTGACGGGACATGGGCGGGATTGTGGGTCCCCAGGTGACTTTCCCAGGGTGGCCTCAGTCATCCTCCAAACCCAGCCTGGCTCCCCTGCCCTTTGCACTGCCATTTTCTCTCCCCACTTCCTCCTTGGGGGTGGGGCGATTTGCTGTGGAGCTAGGAGCATAGCCAGCCTGGCAGTGCTCAAACTTTCAAGGAAAAGAAAACAGTTTTTCCTTGTGAAAGGTCTGAGGAGCTTGCTAGACTGGGTCCATTGCCAGTTCTGTCAGTGGAGAGAGGGTTGGGAGGCCCCTGGTAGCTGCGATGAAGAGAGTGGGCCCAGGGTGTGCCCACCTCGGGCCTGCAGGAGGAAGTCAGCAGGAGAAAGATGCTATTTGTCATCGCTGAAGAGTAACAGCCAACTTTGCAGTGGGTGATAATGATTCATTTCCTCAGTGAAGGTTTGGGAGGATTAGAGTTGGAATACGAAAAAGTCATTTCTATATCTGGCGATGGAGGGACTCTGTGAGCTCAGTGTGTACTGTTTGGAGTTTTGTCATCTCTGGTAATATCAGTCTTAGTCAGCCCAGGCTGCTGGGACATACCATGGACTGGGGTTATAAACAACAGACTTTTCTCTCTGGCAGCTCTGAGCTGTACAGGTGCCAGCGTGGTCAGGTTGTGCTGAGGACCCTCTTCCAAGTTGCAGACAGCTATGTCTGCGTGTGTCCTCACCTGGTCCCCACCACACTTCCTCTAATGAGGGCACTGATCCATTCATGTGGGCTTCACCCTGATGAATCAGTCACCTCCCAGAGGGACCCCCGTATACCTCCACTCTGGGGTTGAATTTTACAGGAACCCAAAAATTCACTCCATAGCAATCATCAACACAGTGCTGAGAACAATGTGAAATGTAGCTGACATATTTTTTAAAATTACATAAACAAAACTCCATGCTATTATAAGGGAGCTCTACAACTACCAGTGTCCAAATATTAAATGTAAGGCAGTAAATGCATAGTGTTTGGATAGTGTGTGTGTTTTGCATGTGTATGCATATACAAGTAGCATGTATATGTGTCTCCTATGATTGTGCATCTCCTATGACCGTTTATCTCCTATGATTATTCTGAGCATTCATGGTCTTTTGGGGGGTTCTGGAGATGGGGCCCAAGGCCCATGCATGAGAAACACAAGCTCTACCCCTCAAGCATTCATGGCTTAAAGGGCATAATAAAGCCACGAGTGAGGTTCACATTCCCAGCTGACTCCAGCCAGTGTGTGGAGGTAGAGTGTTATCAGGATGCTGTGATATGTCCCTTGCTTCAGAAAGGGTGAACATCTGCTGGATAATCTGATGACATCAAAAGTCAGCCTGCCAAGAGCAGAGACCATCCACTCAAAATCGCCTGCTGCTGCTGGTGCCGAGGACTCCTGTGGCTGAGTTCCCAGAGAACTCACTGGTAATGCAAGTGCTAACCCATGCCCTTCCTGGTGCATGAAGCTCCAAGTCCTAACAGCCTCCTGGGCCATAATCTTCTGTACTGGAAGAGCCAGTGTTGAGACTGGTCTGTGGAGGTAATTGCCTCCCTTCGCTCCTGCATGTAAGCTAGCACTGAGGTAATCACAGACATCAGAGCCACTTGGATGCACTGCCCTTGCAGGCCTGGCCCACCTGTCATTTGCATGGAATGCAGGAAGGACAGTCTGAACTGACACTGGCATGCTGTGACCAGGCCCCCTGACAGTCTGACCACCAGCATTCTATACACCATACTATCACAGTGTGTCTTGGTAGGAGAGAGGAACAATCTGAAGTATTCAGGCACTCCAATGCCTTTGGACACTGTTATGGGATGGCTTATGAAATTACATTAAAGGGCAAAGTGAGGTAGGGCTTTCAGGGATTAAATGAGGACTCTGACTTGAAATCAGTAGACTACTTCATGGTAGTTTTGTTTGTTTTTTTGTGGTGCTGGCAGTTAAACACAGGGCTTCGTACATACTAGATTTTTTCTTTCATAATTATTTTGTTGGCTGTGTAGATCATAATTATTTTGTTGATTGGTTATGTTTCTGTTGGTTGGCTGATGGTTCAATTTAGAGACATTTCAATTTGTACACTAATCTTAACATATTTCAAAAATTGAAAAGGCTTTGGATTGTGTGTTTTTTCCAAACAATTATTGCAGTGACTTTCTAGTTTGAAATTTGAAAGTAAATTTTCCTTGACAATAACAAGTAACATCTTCAAATATTGAAAAGCTGTTAATTAAGTGCCCCCAGTTCACAGTTTTATATTGTATGCACTCTATACTCAGATTTTTGGTCCTTCATAGTACATTAACAAAATTATTAGGAAAACTGACTACCATGACCATAGCATACACACAATTCTGACAGAGAAACTAGCAAGGAGTGGTTCTCTTTAGGACACAATTTTTCTAAAAAGACAGCATGAGAATAGAGTAAATTTAAAATATTCAGGGCATATTAAATGCATACTCATGCACTTACCATACCCATCCAAACTGCCACCTAGTAGGCTTTATATTGTAGGATATGAGACTAACATCCCTGTTCCCAGCCTTGAGTGTGTAACTGGCACCCAACGGAGCCAGACCTTCTCATAATCCAATACACCATTGTGCTCTGCTTGCATCAACAAGTAAACAACCAGAGAATGCTTCCATTGCTTACACTTAAAAACTGGGATGAAGAGGGATTCCTTCCTTTTACAAAATGTTTCTAGAGCTACTAAAAAACTCACATTTATAAAAGTCTGATAAAAATATTCCTCCAGTGTTCCTCAAAAAACAAACTAGAGGTTCCATTTGACCCAGCTATTCCCCTTCTTGGTATCTTCCAGAAAGAGTTAAAAGCATGATACCCCAGCAATACATGCACACTCATGTTTATAGCAGCACAGTTTGTAATAGCTAAATCTTGAAAACACCCCAAATGCCCATCAACGAATGAATGGATAAAGAGATGTGTTTTCTTATACAATGGAGTACTACTCTGCCATAAAGAAGGATAAGCTTGAAACATTTCCAGCTAAATGGATGGAACTTCAGGTCACAATCTTAAGTGAAATAAATTGGACACACATGTTTAAATATCACATTCTCTTGTGTGAGAAATCAAAAGCATAAGCAAGGACCAAAATGGATGATAGATATTGGGAAGCTGGAAGAAAATGTTCAAATGGGAAAGGGAACAAGGGAGGGGGGAGGCAAAAGAAAATAGAAGGAAAAAATGGAAACAAAGCTTTAGTAAATAAAGAGAGGAAGAAGAGTTGAAGGGAGGGAAGAAGAATGGGGAAAAAAGAAGAATCAAGATATATTATGTATAGTTATAAATTCCCTATGATGAATGTGATCATTATGTATATCAAAAGACAACAATACAATTAATTTAAAAATATGTCTCTGGATTATACAGGAAAGAAGATAGGAGCACTGGTAACACAGGTGTCTGGCGAATTTGCCTGGCTTCCTTTTCCTCTGCTGTATCCCAAGTCAGCCTCTCCTTGTTTTTGGTTCTCCACTTCCCGCAGGTCAGTCTTTAGTTTCTTGGTTAGCCACTTTGGCCTGCTTTCTCTCTGCTCCCCTCTTTCTCTTTTGTTTGCACTTTTTTGGGTTCAAAGATGTATGCTTTCCTGCTGCAGAAACAGGTCTAGCAGGCAACCTCACCAGTCGCCTTGGGCTCCCCCTTCAGCCCTTTGCCTGAGCTGAGCCCTGGGTGTCCTGGCAGTGTGGGGCAGAGAGAGGGAGCAGTGCACAGGCCTATAGAGGCAGCTACTGGGGAGGCTACTGCAGGACAGTGAGCTTGAGATCAGCCTGGGCGACTTTTTCTCAAAAGAAAAAAAGGCTAGGAATGTTGCGCAGTGCTCCCTGGGTTAAATCCCTAGTACTACCAAAACAAACAACAAAAACAAACCACTGCAATGAGTCAGGTCTTTCTACCAAAACTACCAACAAGTTGGCTTTGGATTTGTCAGGAGGCCTATTTCCCCATTTTGAGGAGGTCGGGTGCCCACCAGGAAGAATCTGGAGTTGCACAAAAAGCCACAAATGCTGGCAAGGTTGTAGGGCAAAAGGAACTCTTCTGTGTTGTGGGTGGGAGTGTAAACCAGCACAACCATGACGGAAACCAGTGTGGAGATTCCTGAGAAAACTAAAACTAGGAATTTCATTTGACCCAGCTATACCTCATCTTAGTGTCTTCCCAAAAGGATTAAAGACATCATATTACAGTGACCCATGCATCCCCAACTCATAAGAGCTAAAATTTGGAAGCAGCCTATATGTCCACCGACAGATGAAATGATAAAGGAAGTGTGGTGTTTATAATAATGGAGTACTACTCAACTATAAAAAGTAAATTTCAGTCATTTGTAGGAAAATGGATGCAACTAGTGACCATAATGATAAGTGAGATAAATCAGATACAGAGGGTTAAATGTCACGTGGTTTCTCTCATATGAGAAATCCAAAGTATAAACAATTTAAAGAGCAAAAACGATAGGTGATAAGAAAGAGGGAGACAGACTTTGTGGAAATGAGAAGCAGATCTGGGGGTTGAGGGAGATGGGAGGGAGGCACGGGGCCCTAAGAAGGATGAAGATGTACCAGTTCCCATGATGAGCACACTGCCTCACACTTGGTGAAGACAAAAGCTGAGCATGAGTGGCTCACTGCACGGGTAGGGGTCATGAAGCTCTGGGTTCACATTTACCCGAGCGCAACTCACAGGGCAGGGCTAGGACAGAAACTATTTCTGGGGCGAAGACTGAGAGACTCACCTGGTAGCATCAGGCTTGAGCCTAGAGGTTTGGTTTATGATGTGAGCGCTGAGTCCCCAGGGCAGGCTGTGCCAGCTTAGCGGGGGGATTTCCTTCCCCGGTGTGAGAGTTTCTGTGTTGAGGTACCAAAGCACGCGGCAGGGTGGGTGGAGGGCTCCGTGCTTGTTTGGTGGCTTTAGCTGTAGACATAGTACCTACCTTTATGAAATTTACGGACTTGTTAGTCTAAAGGTAAAGACATAAACATTGACGTACAATAAATATTTATTAGTTACTGCTCCCAAATTATATTATCTATCATGATGTTATATGTAGCTCCTTATTTGTTTTTTAAATTCCCATTTATTTTTGGCTCTTGGGGAAATGTCGTCTCTTGAAAAGCAGCAAGTTCAACACAAAATAGAAATCTGAAGTGTAGGACAGGACAAAAATCAACAGTGGGGGCAACAGCAAGAGATGAGAAATGCAAAAAAGAGGGGGTTTCCTTGCCCATCGGGGAGTGACCCGGACAGGAAGGTGGCCCGAGCACCCTGCATGACACACATGCTCCGTGGGGATGGGAAGGGCGTTCCCGAAGGCTTAGGGGCACCGGCAGGCTTCCCCACCAAAGGGAAAGGGGCGCTCTGGACAGCCGAGAGGGAGATAAATGGAGAGAATACTGTTCACCCCTCTCTCGAAGCTGAGACAGGGCCAAAATGGACGTGAAGGCGGGGATTCTCCTTTCCCAAACTGTCCCAGAATGGAAAAACTCCATCCTTCTTCTCGTACTGACCTTTGCTCTCTACCTTTCCCCCTTTGGGCTCAGGACGGTGGACATTATGTGGGTTTTCGGCACCTGGCTGGTTCTAAATGGGATCTGGAAGAGACTTAACTTCTTGGAGAATTTTTCTGAAAACTGAAATATTAACTGGACAGGGAGAAGTGGGTGCCAGCAGAAAATACGGGGTCACCTAGAATGACAGAAATCTAGGACTGCCAAGGTAGAGAGAAAGAGGAGACATCCAACAAACTGGTATTTACTGAGTGCCTACGATGTGTCAGGCACCCCCTGAGAGAAAAAAGAAAAGAAAACAAAACAGACGCAGCGAACCAACTGTGAAGGAAAGGGGCAGGCTCAGAGGCTGAGGGGAGCAGCCCAAGGGGAGGGGCTCCGGCCGCCGCGGCCTCCTCCGCGAATTCCTCTTCCGCCCCTGCAGTGGCGTCCTGGCACTGCCGGCACTGGACACCGGGGCGTTCGCGTTGCTCTGGGCCTCGGTGCACGGTGCACTCAGTCTCGCCCGGTACCAGGGCAGGAAGGCGGAACTTGGCCGCGAACAGCTCCTGGGCTGCCGCGCTGTTGCCCATGAAGGTCACGCCCTCTACAGGCCTCGGGCGGGCGTCGCGCTCGGCCGTCTTCACGTTGCTGGCGACCCGCTCCGCGAAGGGCTGCCCTTCCGGCTCTGCAAGGTGAGCATCTGCTCGTCCACCTCCGGCCGCCAGGGAGCGGCTGCGCGGGTTGCAGGCGCCGTCGGGTTTGCCCCGCAGGGCCCCGAGAGCTCGGGTCCGCGCAGGGGGCGTGGTGGGCGCGAGGGCGCCGAGGCCGACGTCGTAGGCTCCGCAGCGTGGCTGTTGTGGCCTGGTCCGTGTTCGCCGCAGCTGCGCGGAGACTGTGGCCTTGTGGGCTCCACTTCGGCGTCCGGCGCCTCCTCGGCTGCTCCTCGCAGGTTTTGCTGATGAGCGCAGTGCGGTGCCCGTCCGCGACCCCCCGCCAGCGGCGGCCCTTCGCCCAGTTGTCGCCTGACCCAGACTGACAGGAAGAAAGTTGTGTGGTCTGAAGATCTGGCCAAAAGTACCCGAGCCAACAGAGTCCATGGCCCCAGGTTCCAGATCCACCAGGAGAGCGCGAGGGACAAGCTGCCACCTGCGGCTTCCCCTTAGCACAGGCAGTGCGGCCGGCCGCAGGTCCCCGTCCGTCCAGAGGTGGAGCTTGCTCATCGCTCATCACCTCCCAGAACCTGGCACCGACCTGGTCGCCACATGGACTGACTGGATGTGCACGATTTCCCACATGGTTAAAATGAACTCGTTTTGCTCGCCTCCAGGAATGTACGGGGCGAGAAAATATGTGAGCTTTTTTCCTTTGCTGGTCGCCAGCTGCAAGGATAGACAGTGCCTCGGAGTCTGGAGCAGCGAGATCCGCGCAGGGCAGGAAGATTCGGAGGGCTAAATTTATTTTAATGTAATACAAGTAGATATTAATAAAGAAAATGTAAAAGCCAATCTATGAGAAATAATTTTTCATAAAAATAATTAGAGAGTAACATTGGTAAGTAAACTGTGTATCATGATCTTAAAAGAATATATTTTCATTTGCTAATCGATCTCTCAATTCATTTCCTAATACTACTGTACCTTTTTTGCATAAAACATTTAAATTACTAGCAAGGTATATTACACTCAGTATAATTTGGAACAATTTCTTCCTATTTCACAGTATCTATTATACTTTTGGTCCTTATTTGCAGTTTCATTTTCTTTTTAAAATTAATTTTATTGGTACATTTTAGGTGTACAGTATAATGACACTCATCATTGGAAATTTGCACCTTTACATAATCTCTCTTGGTTTTATTTTTCCCCCATTCCCCTGCCCTCCCTTCAACCCCTCTATCCCTCCCTATTTACAAAGACTTTGTTTCCATTTTTCATTTTCCCTTATTAATTCCATTCCCTTCTTTCCTTTCCCCTAGCCCTCCCACTTCCCCTTTGCCCCTTTTCTTCCTATTTCACATTATCTATTATACCTTTTAGTCCTTATTTACACATTAAGTTTCTCACACTAGAGAAACTATTCAGTATTTTCTCGTGTGTCCTATTTATTTCACTTAAGAGTATCGCCTCAGTGTGGATCCATTTAGCTGTGTCTCTAATTTATCATTTTTTATGGCTGAGTAGTACTCCATTTTATTAAAAATCCACATTTTCTTTATCCAGTCTCCAGTTGATGGGCAATTGGGCTGCTTCCAAGTTTTAGCTATAATAAACTGTGCTGCTATGAACATGGGTGCACATATATCACTGTGGTATGATTCTTTTAATACTTTGGGGAAGATACCCAGCAGGGGAATAGCTGGGTCAAGTGGGACTTCCAGTCCTAGTTCTTTGAGGTATCTCCGTACTGATTTCCACAGTGGTTGCACCAGTTGACACTCCCACCAGCAGTGGAGCAGTGTTCCTCTTTCCCCACAGCCCCGCCAGCATTGGTTATTGGTGGATTTCATGATAGCAGCCATTCTTTCTGGGGTGAGGTGGAATCTCAGTGTTGTTTTCGTTTGCATCTCTTGAATGACCAGTGATGTTGAACATTTTTTCATATGTTTATTTCCTATTTCTACTTCTTTGTCTGAGAAATATCTGTTAATTTCAGATGCCCAATTTTGGATTCGGTCTTTAAATTTGGGAGTTCTGATTTTGTTAAGTTCTTTATAGATTCTGGATAGTAGACCTTTGAGGAAGAGCAGGTGAAGATTTTTTCCCACATTGTGGGTTGTGTCTTCACACTGCTGGTGGTTTCTCTTGCTGTGCAGAAGCTTTTTAATAAGAAGAGATCCTGCATTCCAAAGCTGTGAAGATGGTGGCTGTGGTGTGGCTTCAGCTGTGGCCTGTCATTCTTCTGGGGACTCAGTCGTTCCCACTGTTGCTTTTTGCTACAGGACTGGCATCCGTATCTGCTGCCAACCGATCAAATGGCACATTCCGATGCTGTTGGGAAAAAATTATTTTAGTTTTGGAAAGATCCTCTTCAGAAATACCACTATCTTCTTGAAATTTGATGGAGAACCTTGTGATCAGTCTTTGAATATAACCTGGTTTCTGAAAAGTGCTGACTGTTACAATGAAATCTACAACTTCAAGGCGGAAGAAGTAGAGACATATTTGGAAAAACTTAAGGAAAAAGAGACTTGTCGGGAAAATACCAAACATCATCAAAATTGTTCCAAAACTGCATTGAACTCTTTAAAACACAGAGCTTTTCTGGGAAGACTGTGCACCGGCTGCCTCTTTTAGGAGAAAAACAGGAGGTTAAGAAGAATGGAACAAATCTTACCTTTACTGGAGAGAGAACTGCACTGCATGAACCGCTGCAAACTTGGCAGGATGCGCCCAACATTTTTATTGTGCACATTGGCATTTCTTCCCCAAAGGAATCATCAGAAGAAAATTCACTACATAATCTTTTCACTATAGCTGTTGAAGTAAAGGGTCCCTATGGATATCTCACACTTGAAGACTATCGTCTGATGATTTTCTTCATAGTAATGTGTATCATGTATGTCCTGTTCAGTGTTCTGTGGTGGCATGGTCTGCCTGCTACCGGAGAGATCCCCTGAGGTTGGTGTTGTCATCTTCTTGGGAATGTTTGAGAAAGCTGTCTTCTATGCAGAATTTCAGAATGTTTGCTATGAAGGAGAATGTGTTCAAGGGGCCTTGATCCTTGCAGAGCTGCTTTCGGCAGTCAAACACTGTCTGGCTCAAACCCTGGTCATCATAGTCATTCTCGGATATGGCGTAGTCAAGCCTTGCCTTGGCGTCACTCTGCACAAGGTGGTGCTGGCAGGAGCTCTCTATCTTTTGTTTTCTGGCATGGAAGGAGTCCTCAGAGTTACTGGGGCTCAGACTGATCTTGCTTCCTTGGCCTTTATCCCCTTGGCTTTTCTAGATACTGCTCTGTGCTGGTGGATATTTATTAACCTGACTCAAACAGTGAAGCTGTTAAAACTTCAAAGGAATGTTGTAAAGCTCTCATAGTACCAACATTTTACCAATACACTCATCTTGGCAGTGGCAGCATCTATTGTGTTTATCATCTGGACCACCATGCAGTTCAGGATGGTGACTTGTCAGTCGGACTGGCAGGAGCTGTGGGTGGATGATGCCATCTGGCAGGAGCTGTGGGTGGATGATGCCATCTCCATGATCCTCTTTGTCATCATGATTCTCTGGCGTCCATCAGCAAATAAACAAAGGTTTGCCTTTTCACCATTGTCTGAGGAAGAGGAAGAAGACGAACAAAAGGAACCTATGCTGAAAGAAAGCTTTGAAGGAATGAAAATGAGAAGTACAAAACAAGAACCAAATGGAAATAGTAAAGTAAATAAAGCACAGGAAGATGATTTGAACTGGGTAGAAGAGAATGTTTCTTCTTCTGTAACAGATATCCCACTTCCTGCCCTTCTGGATTCAGATGAGGAACGAATGATCACACACTTTCAATGGTCCAAAATGGAGTAAAGAATGGGAAGATTTGCAGTCGAAGATGGCTAGTATCAAGGAAGAGATCAGCTTCTGTAAGTGTCTTCTACAGTGGTCCACAGGATTAAAGGAGACAATGACATCCTAATCTGTTTCTTGATCTTTGTGCATTGGAGCTGGCGAGAGGTGTCAGAACAAGTTGAATACCTTACTGAAAACATGTTCTAGGTTAAGAAAAACCTACAAGCTTCTTATTTACAACATTGATGCCCTTTCCCTCCCAAACTCTGACACGGATGCTTATGCAACTTATGTGTTGTTCCTCAACTTTCTGTGTTTCTGTTGTTTAATTTGTCAAACTAAAGTTTAACATCTTCTAAAGGACTGTGACATCAACACCATAGTATGTAATCTCCAGGAGCAACTGCCTGTAATTTTTATTTATTTAGGGAGTTTCATGGGTGATGGGGGAAACTGTTACTTGTCTTTCAGTTTTTTGGGAACTCCAGGTTCCATCTTGTAGAGGGCCCTTCTGAGTTAAGGAGTCATGGTTCTATCATTGATCAAAAGAAAAAAACAGTTACAGTGAATCATTTTAAAAAAGCAAACTCAAGTGCACTTTTGTTTACAAATGGTGTATATTAAAGATTTTTGTATTTCAGATGTACTTTAAAGAGAAATATTAGCTTGACTCTTTTGACATGTGCTATTGTGACACATCCCATTGCCAGCAATGTGGTGCCTACTCTGGAACTTGTAACTGCTGTTCTGTAAGCCTCCAGAGGTGGCATGTAGGGTCCTGCAGTGCTGCCTGCCTGAGTGCCATTCCTGGGAGGCACCATCTAAATGCTGTGATCGAGCACCTGCTAGAGGGATTGTCATACTGCAGGAGTGGGAGCTTATGAACTGGCAGAGTCTGCAGTTATTCTTGCATGAAATACTGTGGAGGCCCTGACTGCTGCTCATTCTTTAGGTTTAACTTTAGTATCTGGGGTTGGTTTGGAGACTGTTTATAAGGGATATCACAAGGTGATGGGATTCACTTGAAGCACTGTATTTCTGTTTTAATGGGTTTATCCAATTTTATCCTACATAAAAAGTTCATGTCACTTTTTAATATAAAAAATTTTAACAAAATTAAAAAAAAATGGATCCCACTTGTTGATTGTGCTAGTTCATGGGCAACTGAGGTTTTCTTCATAAAATCTTTTCCTGCACTAATGTCTTCAAGAGTTCTACCTACCTTATGTTCCAGCTGGTTCAACGTTTCTGTTTTAATATTTAGATCTTTAATCCATTTTGATTTTAGTTTAGTGCATGGTGAGAGATATAG